TAAAAATGCAGTTTTTCTTTCTCTCCGTGGTAAGACTTCTGTTTTTTTATTGCAACATTTCCCCTGATGTCTGTGGGTTCATGCATGCACAGTGAACCATATTGCCAACCAATCTTTTCTTACAATACTCAGAAGGATGAGCACCAATGCAGTAGAAAATCTGTTCTATTTGAATCAATTTAAAAGGGAAAATTTGTATTTTTAGCAATCAAACTGTGCACACATATATGTATCCTACAGAGGTAACCAACTGCAATTGTCTATAAACCCCTCCAAAACACAACAATCAGGAATCTGTACTTCACATCGTCAAAAGGACACAATTCAGAGAAATTTATGAGTTCCAATTCCAAACCCAAAATGTAAATTTTCATTCCCTCCACACCATCATAAAACCTAATGGGAACATGCACATCCAATAGTAATTTGTTTGGAGGAGTAAAAGTAATATTAAGATTCAGCAACTATCAATAGTCAGGTGAAGCAGCAAACAAAGTCAAAATGTCAAAAACATGCAAGTCCAAACTGCAATACGTCATCCCTAACTGCAATTCTTCAAATAGTGATAGGACCTCTATAAGCAAATTGTCTTCTGGAAAGTGTTGAAACTTTTTTTGTGTGGCGGTAGGGAGAGAAAGCCAAAGAAGTGTGCACTGACATAGTAAAGGCATACAAGTAATGTAATGCTTCACAATGAAATTTGCAGTAATGGTGTACATTTAGAAACAAAAGGTTTTACAAACGTGTTCAGCAAGACAATGTCCTTTTAATGGAGTAATTTCAATTGTAGTTGAGTAATTATTGCAAACACTGAATCAGATTCTTGGCACTAAAAAAGAAACTGAATTATCTGCCTTTTTAGGTCATGACATGGACTTGAAACCAACTAACACCTTTGCAAACTTTTGCCACTGCAGACAAGTTTTTGAAGTTGAAATGAAATATATCCTTTTTAAACGTGCGATAAGAGAAGCGAGTCAAAACACCTAATCTTGGTCTGCGCACTTTGACTAAGTTAAATATAGCAAACAATCTCAGGCAGGAAACCATTGGTCCAATTAGCCTATCCATCCAATTTCTCACAGGTTTCCTTTGGCTTACCTATTTTTAGCTGATAGGCACTCGTTCAGACCATCTAGAGATCCTTTTCTAGTTTCTTGCTCCACCACCTATGTCAGTAGTTTATTCCACATGACTATCATCCTTTTACTAAAAAACTCCTACATTTTCTATTCACTATTGGTGTCCCATAGATGTGACCCTATGTTCTTGAATTCTGAGCACAGGAGAAAAACTCACCTGCATATCCTTATTGCCTTTGGGAAATTAAACCAAGAAGGGGTACTCCAGATGCAAAGCCACATAGAATTTTTAATATCGCTTCACTCGACTTATATTTGTCCCAATTGTTTGGTTATTTCTTTTTAAACTACCTAGGAATATTGCACCATGCACCATATTGCACCATTCATTCCTGTTCTGCTTCTCTGGAAGAACCATTTAAGTTTGAGATTCAAGGATTATTTAGGCTTAATTCCCTGCTATTTCCCCATAAGCCTTTATATTTCCCTTTTAAGATATTTGCCTATTTCCATTTTAAAAGCTGTCATTTACAACCTTAGGCAAGTCTCCTTACTCCATAAGTCTCTGTTTACATAGCAGTAAGTAGGGACCCAGTTGTTAATTGATTGCGAGATTGCTTTCTGGGAGTAATAATCTGTTAAAAAAAATTTGGTCACTCAATCCACAACTGCTTGTGGGACACTGCTGTCCACAATTGGCTGCAGTGTTTTTCCCAGAAAATATATAGTCAATTCACTTTACAGTATATTCTGTCAAGTAATTTGAGACATCGATATAAGCCGTTATATCAAATGCAAGTATTATTATTATTATTATGGATTCTGCTTCCATCATTTTTGGTACGAGCATTCCACAGAATTATTTATGTAAAAACATTTCTCTTAATCACTCCTTATGCTTTTTTTCCTTAATCTGGCGGTGGGTGAGGGGGTGGAGAGTTGGAGGCAGGTTGAGGAAAGGAGAGGAGGGCCAAGCTGGCTGCATAGTAACGTGCTTGGGAATGGAATATCAGACTTAATCCTCTGTGGAGATCTTCGTGCTGGTTCCTGAGCAGGTGGCTCCGCAGCCCTCCAAAGCATATTGATGACAGACCAGCCAGCTTGAATTGTTGGCAGGAAGGTGTGATAAAGCGGTCACTGGGAGCAGGGATTCTTCCTACTCCGCTCCTGTTAATCCTAAAGGGTAGGGTGCCTTAACTGGACAAGTCAGGGAAGTTTACCAGACAGCATTCACAGTAGAAAGCAGGTTAAATTCCAGCAACACACACTCTGGGGTCCCCAAGCCTTGGTTCTTGCCAATCTATGCTAATACTTTCTGGAATTAAGTTAAACCCCCAAGATTTCTTTCTTGTTCTATGCAAGATCAAGCACATATTCAGTAATTATTTTGGTTCTGATATATGCAGAAACCCATTACCACGCTTAAGGATAACCAAACCTGACAGTTTCATGCATACCACCTACACATGGAAATCCCCATGTCCCCAAGATCAGACAGCGTATTAAATTACTTCAGTTTAACCTGCTAAAACTAAATAGCTTGCCATTGAAAGCACTGTCTGGCAAGCTTCCCACTGCTTGTCCAGCTTGGACCACTTCACCCATTAGTGCTTTGGCTTGCAGAGTTAACAGGAGTTGAATGGGAAGAATCCTTGAACTCAAGCACTCCCAATAAGTCAGGCTGGTTGGTCTGTCATCAGCTGTTCCCTTGAGTACTGCAAGCCGCCTGGCTCAAAAACTGGCCACCGAGACCACCACTGAGGATTGATATTTTGTTACTAAGCGTGGCATTTTGGATCCAGTTTAGCTCCAAGGAAACCCCACTTACGTTCCCTCTCCACACCCCCATCCCCCCCCACCCAGGAAGATAGCCACTGTTTGGTCTGCCTATAGATTTGCATAAGTTGCCACTGTTTGCAAAATTATAAACAATAACAATTCCAATACCAATCACTAGCAACCAGTTACCAGCTGGGTGATTCCCCGTGCACATCTTGCTGTTTAACTTTTCACTAATTCAGTGAGATAGTTCAATTCAGATACGCAGCAAATGAATCATTATTTGGATACCAAGATACCAACTCTTTTTCACAATACAGTTTCTCTGAAAAAAACACAAACAGAATTACCTTAAAGTATTTTCATTTTCTGAAGTACAATTTATTTTCAGTTTGAGTCAGTCTTACAAAAGTACTCTGAAGTGGCACTCTTTCAGTGAATAGAATCATACTTTAGGTGTGTAGTAATTGGCAAACAAACAGCTGAAGTCAATCTAAAATAGGTTAACAGACGAACCTGAAGTGCGGTCAATCCAGTTTGAAATATAGTCCTGGCTTGTAAATTAAATTGTAAATTGCCTTGTACTCCTAACAAGAGAATTTCTCTCTGGTCATTACAGTATTCCCAAGTTCTGATCCAATACTAATAGTGCAACTTTGAATTTAAAGGAAATATGCTATTATTCCTTACTTCCAATGGACAGTTTTAGAATAAATATTCAAAGATATGCGTGGTTATCTCCCTGATATACTCAATGCAAGATTTTATAAATGCACTTGGGTTCATATTGGTTGCGTGCATATAAAAAATATTTAAAGTTAACAGGAGATAGTAAGCTTTCACTTCCTGATATCAATTCATTAACTTTCATTTCATCTAATAGGTTAACTGAAATTAAGCAATTCAGTGTTCAGTGGTTTCTCCTCACCTGCCAAAGAACAGGACTGTAGATTGATGTCAATCTTTGAGACACTGAATCTTAATTACATTTTTGAAAGCCTGTTAAATGAGGTTGTTCTTTTGGAACATTTTGTGAAATTTTGGATATGATTGCAGATAGGCCATATTTTTAGTGGGCTTTTCGTGTGCTTGCCAAGCTAAAGAATGCCAGTTCTGGGGAAAGAATGGAGCTAGGTATAACATGGGTTGCCATGAAGCATATAACTCGCATTTATATTGTGTGGTCACTCTTACAGGCAAGCTATTCAATTTCCATGCAAGAAGCATTGCTCAGCAATTCCTGATCAATAACTTGATGGCCAGGTCCACCTAAACTGTTCTCTTGTACAAGTTTAAATGACAATGCCAGAGCTCACAACATTTCAATCAAATTAATTTTGGACAGTTTCTCTAACATAAGAGTAAAGGAATTTATAGGAGCCAAAAAAAACCACACACAGCTAGCTTCAAATTAATCACACGTTCCTCTTAATCTCTCATTGTAAGGGGGCATTTTGTTTTAGCAAAGAGAAAGGCGTGTGAACAAACTATCAGCACAGATAGTTGAACAAGAAACTACAGAAGGTTTCAGAAAGGAACTAGACAAGTTCCTCTCAATTACAAGGATTCACTTTTATTAGATTTAGAGATGGATTCAGAGTTATCAGGCAGAGGAATCAAAGGAATCTTGTAGGAAATTGAATGCGTAGGCTGAATTAACGACTGCCTGAAATTGTCACTTCTGTATAATCAACATTACTTCGGCTTATTAAACACCAAAATATATTTTCTGCTACAACAGTCTACTGATTAAACTATTTTTATTAAGTTCATAACATAACTGCTTTCAAACTGTTATGTAGAAGACTTAAAAACTGCCGCAATAAGTGTCAGATTTCTTTGCTGTCTGGATGTTTTAATGCCCTTAGTTGGCCAGCTCTGAAGTTATAGAAAAGCATACTGTGCCAGTCTTCAACAATTAACTACAAGAATGAGTCTTAGGATGCCTACAATCAGCACTGTTATCTAAAAGGGACATGCATCAAAATGAAACTACAATACAAAGTAAAGAAATCCTAAACCACTTACAGCTAACAGTTCATTTTTATGTTGGAGTACAGCCGATGAGAATGTTGCAATTGCACCAAAAAGTGCACAAGATAATTGAAATAATAAATGACAACAGTTTGAAGTGATACATTGATTTAACCATCTTTTATTCAGTACCAATTGTATTAATGTTGCAGCTTGATGAATGTTTTTTGGAACATGTTCCACTGATATGTGAAAGAGAGTAGTTTTAATATGTCAAATATTACATCTGATCCCCTGATGTGCTGGAGATCACGTTTCGAAACACAGCTCTAAGTACTGTATATGTGCTACTTGTCATCATCAACCTGTGTGAGCAGATCAATGCCTCAATACTTTAGTAAATCATGGCACACTAATGGAAGAACAAACAGGAGGCAGGCAAACCATAGAGGCATTTGTAAACTGTTGGCCACTAAACGTGCTTTTTAGTCAGGTCACTCATCATAGTCCTAGCGTTCATTTTTGAGCCGTTTACTGTATCAGTCTGCAAAGTACTGATAAAAATCACTGTAACGTGCAGAGCTGCAGATACTCTTCTCAGACACATTGCACCTTTGCTTTTGGAGGTATTACTGGCAGTATGACTCAGTATTTTAAGAACACCATCTGTCAGTTGCTTTCTTGAAATGTTATCATACAGTACACATTCGGATTCATTGAAGTCCCATTTTATGGTGTCATAAATTGCACTTTGTTTGCCAACCGATTCCTTGCATCCTTTAAAGCTGTGCGACATTGTCAAGTTGGCCTGTTTTCCTTAGTTTGTATCTCAGAAAGGTCAAGAATCAAGATTCCACTTCAATCATTCTTTGATCTGTATTAAAAACAAAAATTAGTCACACTACCAAACTTCACATTGCTAAAGAACATATCATTTTGTGATTCAGGGAGCGCTATGCAAGAAGCACATAAATAAGAAAAGTGTAAATTTATATTGGGCTGCTGGCTACTCCATTATAATTTCAATCTACGCAAGTTTGTCATAACTCATACTTCATCCCTCCAAAAAATAACAAATAATAATAATTTGGTCACTCAATCCACGATTGTTTGTGGGACACTGCTGTGTGCAATTGGCTTCCACGTTTTGCCCACAAAACATACAGTCAATCCACTTTACAGTGTATCCTGTGAAGCGCTTTGAGATGTCTCAATGAATTGATACGGTGCTCAATCAAATGCAATTATTATTATTAATCTCCTGATTTCTATCCTTCTGCATCAGAATTTTGACAAGACCATTCCGCTTAGAAAATTAACAGCACCAGATGAAGGCATTTGGCTCATCAAGAGTATTCCAACACTCTTCAATCTTCAGACTGTTAGCTACAGATAGTCTGTAAAACTCAACCCTGTAAGTCAAAAACCTATCTGAAAAAGAACAAGCTAAAGTTGTGGGATTCTTTTATTTTTATTATTAAAGTGCAAAGTGGCCACATGCTAAGAAACATACCGGTGTGTTATATTGATAATAATAATCTTTGTATTTGATATAGTGTATTATCACATCATCGAGGCATCTCAAAGTGTTTCACAGAATATATTGTTAAGTGGATTGACTGTGTATTTGTACAAAAATAACAACTTGCACTTACATAGCGCCCTCTACACAGGATAGTATCTCAGCGAGCTTAACAGTAGCAGAGCCTGACTCCGAGCTGGGGCGGGGGGTGAGATGAAAAAGGGGAGGGGGCAGGGCGGAGGGATTGAGGGAGAGTGTTCCAGAATTTTGGGGTGTAGTGGCTGAAAGCACGACTTCCGATAGTGGGGCGGAGGGTGCGAGGGATGAGGAGGAGGCTGGTGCCAGTCGAGCAGAGGCGCTGCATGGCGCACTGGCGAGCGAGGAGTTCGGAGAGGTAGGGAGGTGCCGGGAGTGAATGGCTTTGAACACGAGTGTGAGGATCTTGAAGTTGATCCTCCATGCTTGGTGATGGGGAGCCAGTGGAGCCTGGCCAGAACTGGTGAGATGTGGGTATGGAGTTCGTTCCGGGTCAGTATGCGGGTGGCAGAGTTCTGAATGAGCTGGATCTTTTGAATAGTGGAGCTGGGGAGACTGAAGAGTGCATTTGAGTAATACAGGCGGGAGGTAACAAACTAATCATGAGAGTTTTGGCTGCATTTGGGGTAAGGTACGGTAGGAGGCGGCAATGTGGCGGTGGTGGAAGAAGGCGGTCCTGGTCAGGGACCAGATATGGGGGAGGAAGGACAGCTGGGGGTCGAACCGGTCGCCCAGATTGCACACTGGTTCGGTGAGTGTGAGGGAGAGCCCAGAGAGTTCGGATCCGCAGATGTGAAGACATTAACGGGAGCCAAGGAGTATGGCTTCCATCTTGTCTACATTCAGCTGCAGGAAGTTTGCACTCATCCAATCCCTGATATCTGCCAGACAAGCTGATAGAACATTGTCGGACCTGGAGTCGATGTTGGAGGAGGCAAAGCAGACTTGGGTGTCATCCGCATACATGTGGAAATTTACCCCGTGTCTGCGGATTACATTGCCCAGAGGGAGCAAATAGATGAGGAAAAGAAGAGGGCAAAGATGGAGCCCTGGGATACCCTGCAGGTGACCGGGTGGGGGCGGGAGGAGAAACCATTTGCCGAGATGAAATGGAGGCGGTGGGTCTTGAACCATGCGAGTGCGGTCCCACTAAAGTGGATGAAGGATAAGAGGCGGTAGAGGAGGATGGCGTGGTCGACTGTCTCGAACGTGGCAGAGATTTCCAGGTTGACAAGGAGGCAGAGGGAGCCCTGGTCACAGATGGAGAGGACATCGTTTATGACTTTAACAAGCGCTGTCTCTGTGCTGTGGGCAGGGCGAAAACCAGACTGCAGGGGCTCGAGGAGGAGGGAGAGGTGTGACAAAAGTTGACCTACAACAATAAGTTCCAGGACTTTGGCAAGGAAGGTTAGGTTGGAGATGGGATGGTAGTGTGAGAAATTGGAGGGATCAAGGGTGGGGTTTTTGAGGAGGAGTGTGATGACAGTGGTTTTCATGGGGATTGGAAGAGAGCCTGAGGAGAGAGCCTGGTTGACCGTGTCGGCCAGCAGTGGGGAGAGGAGGTGGAGTTGAGTGATCAGCAGCTGGGTGGGGAGGGGGGGGTCGAGGGAGCAGTTGGTGAACTTCATCCGGGTGATTGTGGTTGAGAGGGAGGGAGAATGAGGGCAAAGAAGTGTAAGGAGGTAGGGGAGTGGCAGGAGCCGTGGTGGAGCGAGAAGGTGGTGGGAATGGTCTGGGTGGTGTGGAAGGCAACGTGAGGGGGAGGATGATGCAGCCAAGGGGATGTTTTCAATCTTTGAGGTGAAGAAGTCTAGGAACTCTTCGCACTTGGTGTTTGATGTGAGGATAGAGGGAGCTTGAGGGAGTATTCGGAGGAGGGGATGAACGGTGGAAAACAACATCTTTGGATTGTTGTTTGCCTCCAGGATGACTTTGGAGTAAAAGTCAGTTGTGGCTTATGAAAGAGAAAGGTGGTAAGTCAAGCCACAGCTGGCAGTGAATTGTGTGGCCGGAATTCTGCGTCCAGGTTTGTGTTTTGAGTGAGCGTAGATGACTGTTGTACCAGGGGGAGTGGGTGGGTTTGGACACAACTCTGGATTTCAGGGGAGCCAGGGAATTAAAGGTTGTGGAGAGACAGTATTCAGCAGCTTGATGGCTGCATCAGGATCGCTGCGGGTAGAGGGCCAGAGGGAGGGGAGGTCCGAGGAAGAGAGGGCATTTGTGAGGGACGCGGGGTGAAGCTTTTTCCAGGAGTGAAAAAAAAAAGGTGGAGGGTTTGGAAGAGGGGAGGGGGATGCGGGAGGAGAGGGAGATGAGGAAGTGGTGAGATGGCTTGTTCGTGATAGACAGATCGGAAATGTCAAGGCCATGTGTGATGACGGGGTCGAGGGAGTGGCCATGGTTGTGGGTCGGTGCGTCGATGTGGGGGGTGAGGTTTAGGGAGGAGAGGAGGGCAGTGATATCCGAGGAGGTGGTGCAAGGGAAGTTTAGGAGGAGGTTAAAATCACCCATTATGAGTAAGTGTTCAGTGCAGAGGGACAGGGATAAGAGGAGAGAGGAGATATCGGTGAAGAAGAAGCCAGTAGGTTTGGGAGGTGGGGGGCAGTAAACTAGGATAATTTTGAGGGAGAGAGAGGAGAGATAGTAGAGGGTGAGGTGCTCAAAGGAGGAGAAACAGCCAGTGGAATACAACAAGATTACATTTGTATAGCACCTTTCACGTCGGGAGGACGTCCCAAGGCGCTGAAATAGGAATAAGGGATAGACCAAGGGAAGCTTGGGAAATGAGGGCCACCCCGCCGTTGGTTGGGGCGGGAGATGTGGTGAAACATGTAACCAGAAGGGGAGGCTTCAACGAGGGGGACAGGATCACCAGAGAGCCAGGTTTCTGTAAGTCCAAGAATATCAATGTGCTCATCCAGGATGAGGCTGTGGATAGTAAGGGCTTTATTGGAAAGGGAGCGGATATTTTGGAGGGAAATGCAGATGGGTTTGCTGGTGGGAGGGATGGAGGAGACAGTAGTATAGAGAAGATTTGGGGTCGTGGGGAGAAACAACCGTGGAGTTTGAGGAGCAGGCAATGTTGTGGAGAGTATGGATGAGGAAGAGGGAAGGGGTGTTTGGCTTTCGGAGATGGTTTTTGCGGAGAGTGAGCGATGGGACAGTTGTAGTCAGTGTTATTTAACATTTCATATAACAAAAAGATCACAAAAAAAAGATAATATCCAATTTTAAATTACTACCTCTGTGACTACTCCTGCTGCAATAGTGGATCCAGCATAACGTAGCATAAAGCGACCTAGCTCTTTAAAGTCTTTGTAGAGTTCCAGAGCAACGGTTCTATGTGTTTGCAGCTCTATCAACGCATTCTGTCCCTTAGTCAAACATCTGAAAGAGATCATGTCAAAATATTGAATCCAGATAGAGTATATAATCTCCTGGATCGTAAGTAAATCTACGTGAGTCATAAGGAACAAAGGATATAAAGAATACATGTTCTCCCCTTTTTTGGGCATTTCACAATTAATAATAATAATAATAATAATCCTTGCATTTGATATAGCACTTTTCACGTCGGGAGGACGTCCCAAAGCGCTTCACAGAACACACTGTAAAGTGAATTGACTGTGTATTTGTGGGCGAACGCGGCAGCCAATTGTGCACAGCAATGTCCCACAAACAGTCGTAGATTGAAAATGACCAATTTAATTATTGTTTTTTTTTTGGAGGGATTATTATTAGGCGTGTGGAGTAAGGAAACTTGCCCAAGGTTTCGCCCTGCCTGGAATTGAACTCAGGTCTCTCACTTGCAAAGCGAGTGCTCTAACCACTGAGCTACAGGACTCCGAATAAGTGAGTCGGATGAGAGTTTCAAGAATTTTATGCACTTCAAACCCTCTTGAGGTTGGATATAGTTTAATGCTGGTGCTAATGTCAGGTCTGTATCCTTGATTCATTGGCAACCACAACATTCTGAGCTACATCAGCTCACAAAGAAAACAAAATAATACTTGTGCAAGTACATTTTAAAGCACAAGGATAATAATAATTATAATCCTTGCATTTGATATAGCAAATATAAGATAATGTGAAGTTCCGTTGAGTATTTTTCTGAGTTGGCTTGTAATGGAATTGTTGTTCGCACACAGCATGAATAAGCGCATCACCAATTGCTGTAATTTGATTTCAGATCTTGTGACCCAGCTAAACAATTGATCAAAGTACAGATCTGGGCATTCCGAAACTGCTTGCTCACATCTTTCATTTCATCACGTACATTTCCTTTATGGTAGTAACAGTCACCTACAATTTCCGAATAACGGCCCTTTCACATTGTGCATGTATCACTTAAAAGGGATAGTCCTTCCTGGCACCTTATACACGTTTTTAACGTTAAATTATAATATTTAAAACAAAGTTTAGAAATTTCCACCCAAAATATTCTAGTTCAAAACGGTGACTGATTTTTAAACAAAATTGAACACAGTGAATTTGTAATAAAAATAAAAAAGGTGGAAATCTACAAGTCAAACAGTGTCTGAATGACAATAAGTTAAAATTCTAGGCATGTCTATCTATCAGATCTCTATAATTCAATCCCTTGCTTGCCTGCTCTGATGCAAGTGTTATGGTTGCTCAAATTTGGCCTCAGCACGTGGCTGAATTATTTAGTCAATCTCACAAGGACATCATTGCTTCAATTCCTGTGCTGGTACAGAAATTAGAAGACATGGCAAGGAAGTTCATCTCGATCAATTCACAAATTTTCAGGCTACTAAACTACTGAATAAGATCTTATTTTTATTTAAAGCAAAGCTCATCACTGTCCTTGTTCAAAATGAAATAATGGGGGCTGCAATCAGCTTCAACTCCCATCTGTATTTTTCCATCAATTTGTACAAATTCCAATTTGGGGAGTTTGGTGGAGGTGTACTATCCTTAGTCAGTATGCGAAAGCAAAGTTAACAGACATCTAAAAAGACAGAAAACAAAAACCAAAGTCGCTGGGAACACTCAGCAGGTCAGGAAGCATCTATGGAGACAGGAAAATGAGTCAACGTTTCAGGTTCATGACCCTTCGTCAGAACTGTTCTAATGAAGGGTCGTGGACACAAAATGTTGACTCACTTTCCTTTCTCCATAGATGCTGCCTGACCTGCTGAGTGTTCCCAGCGACTTCGGTTTTTGTTTTCAGATTTCCAGCATCTGCGGTATTTTGTGTTTTGTTTATATCTAAAAAGGCAGGACTTCTTTAGTATCCTGGGAAGTTAAACTACAATTCGTTCGAATTAACATTCATTCAACAGTCAGAAAAACAAACGCTGATGCAGTTTTGCACTGGAAATGACATTTAGATAAGACTGTCTGTTCTGAAGAACTTCCCCAAGCGGTTACAAGCTACAGTATCTCAATTTGGTGTCTACATGCCTCAAGTAGAAGGCTAGGAGTTCAAGCCCCATGTCAGGACTTTGAACTCAAACAGACTAGGCTGCCACTCGAATGCAGTATTCTGGAGGCAGTGCATTGTTGAGGGGTGTCAGCCTTCAGGTGAGATATTAAACTGAGGTCTTGTATGCCGGTTCAGGTGGATGTTTAAGATCCTATGGCACGATTCAAAAAGGGAAGGGAGTTCTCCCAATGTCCTGGCTGACAACGATCCAGATAAAACTGGGCATTCACTTCATTGCTGTTTGTGAGACATTGCTGTGTACAAATTGACTGCCATGTTCTCCTACAAAATGCTTCCAAGTAATATTCATTTTACAGTAAATCCTGTGAAGGCCTTTGAGAATCCCCCCTCCCTATATATCAAATGCAAGGATCATTATTTGCTTTAGCATCATACCCTGGGTATGATCCGATGTGTTATTAATGTAGCTCCCTCACATTGCTAATCTCAGTGGTTCACACTCCTTTGAACTATTTGCTTTTGGTTAAAAGAAGTACTGATTGCAGGAGTTAAACTATTAAACCTATTAAACTACATGACCACACATGTATTGAATTCCACACGTTCAGTAGTTATAAGAGTACAATACTTCCTGCATATTACTTTTCATACAAATAATTTTTTTCTTTACAGTACAGCATTTATTTTTTATTCAAATATTCCTTTTACATTGCCTGGTGATTTCTACAACAATTTTTTGTCAGTACAAATTATTCATGCGCACACATTTAAGTTTCCTTATCATATTGCTTAAGATCCAGTGTTTGTCGTCCCCCTTTGAATATTTATAATTAAAACTTCTTCAAAAATCATGGCAGTGCACCTCTTCATTACTTAGACACTTGCAGGTGTCAGCTTGTCTCAGTCAGTAGCACTCTTGGCACTGGGTCACAGATTATGGGTTCAAGCCCCACGCTGGGACATTGAGTTCACGGGTTCGGCTTACATTCCAATGAGGTGCTGGGGGGAATGTTGCATTGGTGCATGAGACATTAAAACTTCAGATGAGACATTAAAACTGGGATCCTGTATACTTGTCTAGGTGGGCAATCGCATGATACTATTTGAAAAGAAAAGAAAGCCTCCCTCAACATCAAGGACACCAGTCCTCCAGATAAATTGTTTATTCACTTAATGGTTGTTTGTAAGATATGGCTGTCCATAAGAATGGCTGCCAAATTCAACTACAAATATATATATATAAGTGTAATCACTACACTTCACAGTCACTACATTTTTGAAACATTTCAACGTTATAGATGTAATATTAAATGCAAGATTATTTTGTTATTACTTTACAGTGATTTGATTGACATATGTTGTTCTGAATATTAATCAAGGAGGATTCCATTCCACTGTTAAATTAGCCTCATGGTCATTTCTGACAGGCCACAAGAAGAAATGCTCTACCACTGGGTTGGAAGGTGACCAAGTATAGGTGCCAGGGTTATACTACATGGCATCCAAACATGATTTATCCTGAAAAAACAGCTGCCATTAGTTTGCTTTCTTATTCCGGGGAACAATGCAACAGAAAGCTTGTGCTGCAAATACTCTTGTGGTAGACATCTACCACAACAGTGTTTGCAACACAAACTTTCTTTATTACCTAGTTACACAGTGGGGTTACCTAGATGGTAAAACATGTTAATCAGGTCATGCATATGTTATAAATAGACATAGATTCAAAGACTCTACCATTTAACATAGCCATTTGCGCTACAGAAATGGTTCTACAACCTGTGAACAGGCTCGATGGGAAAGATAGCAAACAAAAGACTCTTAGTTTTAACCATCCATAAGCTGCTCGTGCCAGAAGGATTACTCTGGTCAGGTAAACAAAAAATTACTATAGGACAAAGAGATCTTCAGATCTTGGCATAATTATTTAGGTTTAAGGTTAATGCTAATGCAACATAAGTATCAGTACTTCAGGTTATCACCTGCATGTGGGTTTCACCCTCCCCAGGTTGCCAATGTCCTCATTCTCAGCCATGTTACTGGGAAAGGTGCCACAAAGAGGCTTCCCACTTAACCACATGTCAGGTGACTCACATTCACAACTAAGCTGGCCAGAGTGTGGTATTGATAAGGAGGCTGAGAGCAGGAAATGGTGCACGCCATGTGTGAAAAGATAGCAGAGGAAAAATAGACAATTTTGCTATCTTAGAAGTCATCCATACCTCAGAATATTCAACTAAGATGACCCAATTCACTTTAGCCTTCCTCACTTAAACATTAATCGGAGTGATCGGAGATAAAGAAAGAAAAACCAAAGCAGCACTTACTTGGGTTTTTTCTTGAGAACCTCTCCTGTGCTCTTGTGCAGAACACTCACTAGTCTTCGGATTGTTCCTGGCTCACTCACAGTTTGGTAATGTAATAACACCTGTTCATAAAATATACAACTTCATGCCGTCAGGCCGTATTTTGAACTTCAAGTAAATGTTCTTTGAAGCAGTCTTAATTATAGTGATGTACACTACATTTCTAGATTTTTAAAATTAAATTTTTATCACCATTGTGGTTTCACTGACAAATTACTTACCACCATCCCAGAGATTGAAAAGGAAAACACACAAAACCTGTTCATCATTGCCTGTGATTTCAAAGTTTTAGAACAAACGGAAACATCTCCTTGAAGGACAATGCAAATGTTCCCATTTTAAACGGTATTAGAACCTGGAAATGGCCCTGCTAATCTATACGTCATCTCATGGGAACACGGAATTATACAGTACAGAAGGAGGCCATCGTGTCTGTGCCGGCTCTTTGAAAAGAGCTACCCCAATCAATCCCACTCCCCCGCTCTCTCCCCATAGCCCTGAAAACTTGTCCTCCTCAAATAATTATCTACTTCTCTCTTAAAAGTTGTTATTGAATCGGCTTCCACCACCCTTTCAGGTAATGCATCTCAGTTGCACAGTCAAAGTGGTGTCAAATAGAGGACAGGGATTCTTTTAAACAAGGGTGGCGGGGGGGGAGCAAACTGAATGACCTGGGCTAAGTGTACCTCCTCCAGATTGCTGGACTATGTGACGAGATATGGTGACTGCAGCAAAGGTTCATTTGGGGAAGTGGGTGGAATACAGCCTGGAAACAGGAGAAAGGTTGAGGTGGAACCTCTCTGCACTCAAAAGGCCAATTCTCTTGGGGAATTTATATTTGTTTAACCTGATCAGTTAAAAAAAAGCGCCAACAATTTCAGATGGACCTAATATGTTGGGAAAGAAAATTTTCAAGCCATTTTTCTGAATGGAATTGATTTAAAAGTTGGTTCAAAATATTCCATTCCTCCACCCCATTGAAAAAAACTAATGAGGAATTATTTCTAGATGTTGATTGTGCAGCACACAAAAACTGAACATCAGTACTAAGTTGTACAACAACAATTTGGATTTATATAGCGCCCTCCACGCTGGACGGCATCTCAGAGCGCTTCACAGTAAAGGATCCCGGGGCCGAACCAGGGGGAGGAACGTGACCAAAGGCGCGGTCGAAAAGAAGCCAAATCAGTTAAAATATAAAATGAACTGTAATACTTTTGGGGGCTGGAGTATATGTCACAGCTGTAATGGGAAATTCTGAGTGTTTGAAGAGGAATCTTCGCACAGTTGTGGGACCAGAAACAAGATGCAATAGCACAATGCCTGTGTTCAACGAGTAAGTTATCCCACACACGCGAAGACTATCCCAGAACCCCTGCGCCCCACCCCTTCCACACCTCCTTCAAGGTCCATTACAAGATCAAGATCTTCCTTCCTATGCCTTTGGTCATATTACATGCTTATTTTAGCTTGCACCAGAACCTGTAGGGTATAAGTGTAACAGGTATAAGTTTATTGATCAAGATGCGACAAGTGCGATTAAACTGATTTAAAAAGTCCAAGTGCAAATTTGTTTTGAAACTCACAGTCATCATTTAATAAATTCTAAATGAACAACAATGTAGAAGAACGAGAAAAGTACACTTACTGGCAAACCTTGTGTGATTGGCAAATCAATATTGAAAATAAGAACTCGAGCTCTAAACCTTGTGCATGTTTTAATAGGTGCTTTCTGATCACAGAAAATACAGCCCACACTGCAGGGAGAAAGGAAAGTGAAATCAGTGGACCTACTAAATAAAAATGACTATCATTGAGATTTATTAATCAATTCTGCATACCAATTGATCCACAAAAAACAGATTTTCTATTATTTAACATTGATGCCCTGTGATGTATTTGGCAGCTTAAGCAAGTATTAATGCATGTCAATAACTTGCATTGCTGGAACAAGCTCAACTGCCACTGCTCAATAGATAAACAACTATTTATTCAACAGTCAGAATGAAAGTTCGAGTGCATTGGAATCAGAGATAGCTTTGACCTGGATGTCTGTGCATTAATAAAGATAGTTTAACTACTTTTTACAAAGAATTAATCCAATTCTAATTAATAATCCATACTATAAAATTATACAATTTATATAGCATCTTCTAATGTCGGGAGGACATCTTAAAAAACTTTACACAGCTAAATTCTTGAATTTGCTATAGTGCCTTATTGCGCTTTAATTGTCATGTCTTTTCAAATATTTTGGATTAAATAATGATTGCAGAGAGGTTCGGCACTTAACAAAGCTGCAAAGACCTATGATGCTATCCTGCATGGAGGGCGGTATATAAGTGCAAGTTGTTGTTTATCAATTCTAATTGCTACTTCTTTTCGAATATTTTGGATTAAACAATCACAAAGGAGAATTTCTCAGTCCGACAGCAAAAGGCAGCTGAATTTAAATGCAGTTGAAACAAACATTACGATGCTGGTTTAAATTAATGACAGATAAAATTCAGCTTTTTTTTTTACTGCTATGGACATCATGCTGCAGGTTTTTTTCTACAACCAAACAAGGCTACACTTCCTAAAAGCAGATAGCAGCATAAAAGGTAGATAGACTTGACATTCAACATGAATGGAGCACATGTGCTTTCAAGGCTCAAAATTGTGGGAGCTAAGGAGGGTGCCTGCTGTTTTGTCCATGTTAAGTTGCGAGAATTTAGCCTTAATACTTGACAGACAAGCGGACTTGACAGAAAATCAGTGGATCTGGAATCAACAGCAGAAATGAAAGAACAGATTTGGGTGTCACCCGCACATGTGAATGAGGAAAAGGAGGGGACTGAGGACAGAGCCCTGAGGTGCTCTGCAGGCGACAATGCAAGAATGCGAGGTGAAAAATGTTGGCGGAGACAAAGTGGAGGCAATCGGAAAAGTAGGAATGGAACTAGGAGGATGCAGTGCCCGGGAAGTGTATGAGGGAGGATGGAGTGCTCGACAATGTCTAAGGCGGCAGAAGTCAAGGAGGACACTGAGTCCCAGTCAGATAGTACATCATTGGTGTCTCTGATAAGGGCCATCACTGCTGTGGGCAAAGTGGTCTGGAGGGACTTGAGTAGGCAGTGGAAAGAACGGTAGGAGTAAAATTGAGCGGAAACAATGTTTTCCAGCAGTTTGGATAGAAAGGACAGATTGGAGATAGCCCGACAGTTGGACAGTTTAGAGGGATCGAGGGTAGGTTTTTTGAGGAAGGGATGATGATGATTTTTGAAGGGGAGGAGGACAGTGCCAGGCAGAACAGGCTGACTCTGGATTGGATGCTGTGCTTGGAAAATGTATTAGGATGTTGTGCAAGAAAAAGTCTCGAGTAGGGAAATCTGAAAAGATTGTGAAGAGCAAAGCAATGTTTCTAAAATGTTGTCCACTGCTAGTGAAACTTTCAACTTTCACATATTATAGAGTTATATGTGCAACTAGGGGGATTTTAAATCGGTATTTAAATCAGCAGCAGCTGGTCTGCTTGTAGCTATTTCTGAAGGGTTCCGAGACATTTTTTAAAAAAGCGTGAGACATCCAAAACAGAATACCAAAAAAAGGAAAAAACGCCTTACTTTATTTTTATAATATCCACACCAGTCACAGTGAGAGTAACGTGTTCCCCTGCTGCAGCCCAATCGACTGGCTCATCGTGTAATGTGATTCCTGGAAATGAGTAAATTCAACACCACAGTCAGCTTTCCGGGCTGTGACACAGAACATAGTATCAGTGAAAAAACTATTTAAATTGTTTTTAACCTTGGTTGACACTGATCTGAGTCATCATTTCTCAACATGAATGGGCAACTAGTTAAAAAATATAGCAACCATTACACAGCATCCTGCATCGACTAATACAACGTGAGAAAAGCACATGATATGTGCGCATTGCATAACGTCTTGAATTTCAATGTGGTCAAATTCATTAACAATTTTTTTAAAATAAAAAAGCAGTTTACAAAACCACTTATTTTTCGTTACTTAGTTCCCCACATCTCTCCATTTCTTACATAACATTTCCTGACTGATATTTACATAAAATTTTCTGTTGGAAGTTTCATCGTTGGGTCTGTGTGAAGTTAACTGTTAATAAGTGTAAAATAACCCGGTAAGCATTTTAATGCAGAAATATCCATTTAAGGAGTTAGTACAAATGAGTGAATCAAATGACGGCTTACCACCTTTAATGCAAAGTGAATGTGTACATTACCGCACTGAATACCACAAACCTCACAACGTTCAACACTAACCATTAGACCAGTGAAAATGGCCCAATTACTTTGACATGAAGTTTTAAAGTTGTATTAATTCACATGAAATACTTCCTTTTTTGGCATTTGTGACTTATACAATAGCGATAATAACAATATAATAATAATCCTTGCATTTGATATAGCGCCTTATCACGTCTTCGCGTCTCAAAGCGCTTCACACAATATACTATAAAGTGAATTGACAGTACATTTTTATGGGCGAAAAGCAGGAGCCAATCGCGCACAGCAGTGTCCCACAGTCGTGGATTGAGTGACCAAATTATTATTATTTTATATTATTGAATTATTATTATTTTATTAAGGGATTATTACCCCCAGAAAGTGATTTGCCAATCAACTAACAACCAGGTTGCCACTTACTGCTAGGTAAACAGAGGCATGTGGAGTAAGGAAACTTGCCCAACATTTCGCCCTGCCCGGGAATCGAATGCAAGCCCTCTCGCTTGCAATGTGAGTGCTCTAACCAGTAAGCTATAGGACTCCACAGGGATTTGTTTGTATAATGGGTAGTTGTATTTTTTTCTAGTATTTGATCCACCTTGCTTCAAATCAGATCGACAAAAGATCATTAAGTAAGAATATTGTAATGTTACACAATACATGAACTGTAAGAATCTTTCCAACAGGACTGAATAGCAGTAATTATCTTCAGAAATACATTTATTCTCAATCTAACGATTAACACAATTTAGATTTAAGTAGCTTCCTTCACGGCCAAAGAAGTACGTTTTGACAGGTACCTTGAAAGGAGGGAGGGAGGTAGCGAAGCTAGATAGTCGGGCGAGTGATTTGACTCAAATTTCTAACTTCAGTGAATCTATCTGTCCTTTTGGCTAATTAATACATGTATATCCACTATTATGTTTTTTGAAAAAAACAAAACTGTTTCCAGACAATTCAGCTGTACCGGGGTGAAAATGTACGAGTTGAAGCAGTTTCAAAACATAATCATTGTGAAAGTCTATAAACATTTTCTTTAAAAATAAACAAAAGGCAATTTTCATATCAAGCAGACAGATCAATTTTCAGGTCAACTGATCAAAAAAAATGAAAATAATGCTCTGTCTGTTAGTGGAACAGCTTCCCAACAGACAACTGTAAAAAATGTGCACCAGAGTGACTGAGCAACACTGTATCACATACAAATAGGTGCACCAGTGGGAACGTGATTTCATTTCACCAAAACCTTTATGCATTGAACTGATGAATAATTGCTGCTTTCATCAGAAAGCTTTTCATGCTTGAAAGACTCATTCTTTGCCACTGAGGAACAGCCTACTCCAAACTCTTGTACTGTCACCAGCTTAGCTGCTACAACAAGTCCACACAGTAAAAGACAGTGTAGTCAAATTTTCAGTTTATATGATATTATGGTACTAAGTAGGCTGTTGGAAGAGCCTTCTTCATACCATTCTCAATAGTGATAACATATGGGCATCTGGGACTCAATTTTGGGTCAGTGGAATACTGCCATTTTGAGGGATTTTTTTGTCAGTTTTTGTCAAAGGTCCCAACACTCAGTCCAACAATTTGGAACCGGTATTGTGTACCTCACCATTGTTCCCAAATAAAATTGCAGAAAATCAATTCCAAATGAAAACTGAATTTAAGAATTTTATGGCCTAAAACCATAAGAAATTTCAGGCAGTCAATTCTCAGCAGAGCCAGAGCACTTAGCTTCATCCTAGGCTAAGAATGAGGGATAAAGCATTTTTTTTAAAATTCTCACCCCTGACTGCTATCCAGACACTCCTGCTGGAAAATGTAAATTGTATGAACTCAACCGGGCTCAGCTGGGATGACTCCTCACAGTCAGTAGCCCATCAGCACTCTCTTTCAGAATGAAATGTTAAATATTGTCACTCTTGAGTAAGCAAGCCCAAAGAAAAGAGGAAGGAGGAAAGGAAAAGAAAAAAACAAAGGAAAAGGTCAACAAGGATATGGGGTGAGAGGGGGGGAGTGGGGCTGATTGGGTAGCTCTTCCAAAGCATGCACAGGCATGCTAGGCCGATTGGCCTCCTTCTGGGCTGTAATATTCCATGATTCCAACAAGCAAAAGTAGGTACGTAGCTTCAAATAAGTGAAAAATATCTTTTCAAAAAATCCTTGCTGTTGAGCAAGTAACTACAGCAGCATAGTATCTGCCCTTTGAATAGATTTATACATATTCCTGCTGCTTTAGCCTTAATCTAATCAATGTGATCAAGATTTCTGGTAAAGTTACAATAATAGCTCAGATCTGTGTTTGGAATAACAGCATAACTGACAAACAAACGTGTCAAACAATCTAGTCACAAAAACTAATAAAATAACTCAATGACATGAAGTGAGACTACCTCAGCTCGCTCAGCACTTTTCCCATCATGATCAGCAATTTTCACAATGGGTTTAAAAAAAACGTTTCATAAACAGAGAACATGGACTATTAAGTTCCATCTATGAAACATGTGCAACTCACTTAAATTCAAACCCTATTGTTCACATTTTAAGCTCTAAACAGCATTTGAGATCAGAGGTTTCCATTTCTCCTTCCTGCAGTTAAAGGATCATTTGCTTTTAATCTTGTGTAAATCAGAGGTGGAAACAGTACTATTTAAAAATTAAATTGCAAAGTTACAAGAGTGAAGACACCAGAAAATGCACCACACCAAGAATGGTGCATAAAGTAACCAGAATAAGTTTGTCTTGCTCATTTACCCCCATGCCACAACTTTTCCCTTCTTAAATTGGAGCGACACGGGTTCATACTAAACTGGCAAATCTGAAATAACAACAAAATATGTCTGAGTCCCCACCTTACCTCCAAAAGATTGATTGGTACCACCAGTGTAACACTAAGCCATGCACGATGTCCGGTGAAGACAGGAACAAGCTTGGCTGTGAAATTACACCCTAGTTAAATAATCTCATGGAACCATGTCCCAGTTAGAGTCAGCATCTTTAGAGCGACGAAGGGCAAAAGGGAATTTGCTAAAATATCTCCTCATCTGTGACTTCACACAAACCTGTGTACAAAATCGATTCTTATTTCATTAAAAGATGTGGCATCCAAGATGTCAAAAAGCAATTGATGCAGGATGACTGATCATATTTTTGGATCACAGCCTGTTTTTGTGAATTACAAAAATCTGTTGTTTGCAATTTTATTCTACATTTCTGGAACCATGTTAATGATCAATTAACAATGGATACACCTTTAATGGAGCAGGATCGCTTACACTATGACCACTCCTGGTTTGATTCCTAACACGATAACTCTCCAAGCATCAGTAACATACATACACATAGGATTAATCGTACAGCACAAAGAGAGGCCATTTGGCCCATCGAGTTTGTGCCGGCTCTTTGAATAGAGCAATGTAATGTCAATCCCACTCCCCAGTCCTTTCCCCATAACCCTGCAAACCCGTCCTCCTCAAATACCCGTCCACCGCGTTTTTAAAAGTAGTCATCGAATCGGCCTCGACCCCCCTTTCAGGCAATGCGTTCCAGATTCGAACAACTCGTTGCGTGAAAAAATGTCTTCTCACCTCCCCTCTGCTTCTTTTAGAGCCTATTTTGAATCTGTGACCTCGAGTCACCGACACACCCACCAGTGGAAACAGTCTTTCCCTTTCTAACCTATTAAATCCCCTCATGTAATGCAAATTTGCAATATTCCATGCAACTTGAGCCAAGAGGACTACGTTTTATCTTGTTTATTGACAAAGGCGTTTCTAAACAGTTTATCAGGTCAAGACTTTCGAGCAGCTCTATGACATATACGCAATCATTACACAAAACGATAACCAAAAAAAAAGCACTTATAGCAAGTGACAGATTTGGGTGAGCGCAATGACTTGACTTCTTCCGTTACATTCCGGTACTTCTCTACTTTTCAAACGACATCTAGATTACTCGAGACATTCTGTCTACCATTCATTGTGTTCAAATTGTGTTTAGCATTAACAATGTGTGAGCATTGCGATCCACTGCATACCATTGCTAATCCATCACACCCGTCAATAGCCCATGATACCTTAATTAAGAAAACGGATGTGTAGTAAAGTATTTGGACGAGGCTCAAAACTGGCCTGCTCTTAGCATCAACATCACAGTCTTAACATTTGAGATCATGCAGAATTTTTAATTCAGTCCTAACAGCTGCAGAAAATCTCCTTCCAAGTTATGTCTGAATTTAAGAATTTTCAAAAACTCTGCACAATCCTAATTTTAAGAATATTTAATTTTAAGAAAATGAAAGTAACCATGAGAAGTTCAGACCTCTTGTGAGGATGGGATCTGTTTAACTTTGATGTCCCTCATGGGTGACGGTGTCAACACTGACTGTCTATGATCACAGCCTGTTAGCACTGACTATCTAAGATCACACGTGAACAAATGAAGAGCTACTTGTACTAGGTACTAGAAATCTGCCAGTGCCTGTGAAAAATACCCTAGAAACTGGCGGTAGCATCAAGAGCACCAGGCAATTGGATTTAACAAATACACTCCTAAATTACCAATTTTTAAGAAAATAGTAAAAGGCAGGGCACAAAAAGCCAGTCAATCACTGAAATGCTTGCCTTACGCTATGTTAACTCTACCACCATTTCCATTAATGGTAACAAAGGCACATTCGACCAGTGTTGCTACAAAACTGTTTACCACAAGCGCCTGGTCTATTGCAGATTAGAAGATTATGTGTTACATTGGTAAAAGCCACAGACAAACAATTTGGAGAACTGTCCCACCACTATTTCTGCCTCTCGAGTTGGGCGGGGCGCGAACAGCGGTGGGGTAGAAGCCGACAAATTAGATAAATGTGGTCGATAAGTTAGATGGTTTGTGGGGCTTGGTTTGTGTTTTTGGCAAGAAAAATCTTTGTGTAATCAAAGACCTGTGAACTGTGCTCAATGAAATCAGTTCTGTCATTAAGCCAGATTTTGGGACGTCTTTGCCAAAAACTGATACAGAGGGTCATATTCGTCTCCATTTATTTTCAAACTAAACACCACAGTTGGTACTTTGTTTTCTTCCTAGCTATAGAGGAAAATATAAGTTTAGAAACATGTTCCACATACCTGAAGGAATCCTCACATTAAGAGCAACCCAGTGGTCTGTGGATTGGTCTCTTAGCTGCCGCACTGCTCCTCACATGCTAAATAGAGATGTCCGCTAAACTAAGTGCTTTTGTTGTGGCTCTATTCAGTTTCATGTCAACACTCTAGACCTGCCTGGTGTTGAGCAATAGTCACTGACTCCAGTACAGCACCAGAATGGCAAGTATCTGAAATATTAAACTAATTCTGGTTTTCCCCTCAAGATTGGACAGCTCCCGACCAGTCCCAGGCTGCTCTAAAATATCCAGCCTTCCCTAAACTAAACAGAGTCACTCCAGGTATTCTCTCTACAGCATCTGTCACTAGTGTGGTGGCCCAGCCCATAAGTCTGGGGTTCGAAGGATTGTGCTAAATGTGAGGACTCCTCATCAAAGATGTGATAAATAATAATCAGTATAGATTTTCATAGTATAGCTGGGGAAGTACTTTGAACAGAAAGGACTCTCTACTTTCCTTTCCCTTTTTAATCTTTGGTTAGTTGCAACAGACTCAGACATTAAACTGCAACTTTATCTGGCAGTTTTCACAAATAACCTTAAATGTATTTTAAATGCCACACATCTGCCAATGAATATTTTGTCAAAAGAATGAAAATGTGCTATTTTTTGCTATTCAATATGCAGATACTTATTCTTCTTCTGAAGTCTCTGAATAGCTCAATGACAAAGCTTGGGTATTCAATTTTCTCGGATTCAATTCAACCAGCTGCAGAATACGAACAACCAAAATGTTCAGGTCAATGTCTGAGATCATTTTTAATCCTTTGAGCATGGACTTATCTTTCAGCTGTCAAAATATGTGCCTGCATTGTATAAAGTAGTAATTGAGTTTCTATGGAACAAATCATAATTTAATTCATTTTCTTCTCTCATTAAACTAAAAACTGTAATTTTATCACATTATATATTGATGCAGAAATACCACTTTTTAATTCTGTAAACATAATGTATCCTGAAGCACGGCAGCAATTATAGTAAAAAGAACAAACATTTCTATGAAGAGAAGGCTGGCGTAAAGAATTGTCATTGTCGCTCTTACCCTTAACAGTACAGGATTCATTTGGTGGCATGACAAGCACTCGGTCTCCAGACTGAACATATCCTGCTTTGATTTTACCAGTAACGCAGAATCCTGATCCTTGATCTGCAAAGTGCAAACAATTGAGGTTAAACAGGTAACTATGGTAACCTGGGAATTTAGAATCGATCTAAGCAACTCAACACAATTTTCACCGAATTGCTTTTACAAGCTGCATATGACAAATGTAAATACGTTTCTAAAAACAAACCTTTGAAAACATCGGATACGCTCAATCTAAACGGTTTTTCCACTGGTCTTTGCAGCGACTTGAAAGAATCTAAAAGAGAAAAGAAATGTTGAAGCAAATGAATAACTATGCTGTACAGAAATTAAAATATTATCCATGGACATTTACAATAATTCATTTAAAAGCCAGGGAAGGAGGAGGAGAAAGTGAAATTTCAAACAAAATTAATGCTGACCAATTTGCTCTATCAGACAAGCTCCATTGTACCAAGCTTTGAGTTCATGTACTTGACTTCGTGTCGTTAGATTCTCGCCATTCAATCCAGCTGTGGGAATGTAAGCAACGTCAGACTCCTGATAGAATCAAAAAGCAGAGGTCAAAACAGGATCATCTTAGCTTCTTACACCAATGTGCCTCAGTACATAGTTTGTAATCATAAAAAAATCCCTTGGCTTGACCTAATTTAGAAAAAAAAACATACTGAATACAATACTAGTTTTTAAAATAAGATTAACATTGATTTAAGAAGTAATTTAAACAATCCTATTGTATTAATTTTATAAACCACCCTACAAATCTTTATTGGGTTTGTTACTTCCCTTCCTCCTCCCATTTGTTTTATAAAATGATGATATGAAGAGATTTTAACCAGCAATATTTTTTAAAAGTCTATTAGTGTCTACACTGAAACTTCATCCAGGTGTACAATGCCATGGTGATCGCCCTCCTATGGTTTGGAATTGTGGTGTAAAGATAGGACACAGGAACTTGAGACTGGGAATATGTAGTGTAGCTTTGCATGACAAAGAACTTCATCATCCAACCTCCATACCAGTCAAACGGAAACCTTTCGGAGTTTATAAAGCCCTTATACCTAAACCCTAACAAGTACAAGTGAACTCTCTGTAGTTTGGTTTGGAGACTCCTGAGCACGGTGATGGGTTTCTGTATACCTCAGACACCTTGCTAACAAAAAAGATCAAAACTAGCTACAATCAAACTCATCCACACTCTACAAAATTGTTCTATGTTTCAAAAAATATGCCTGTAGTTTTCTTTCGCTCCACTTTTCTTAAAAAAAATTACCCTTTTAAACTTTGCTGCTATTATTTGATTAAGCTTGCATTTTTGTTTTTCACTTTCCATGTATTTTATCATGTAGCCCAACGAAAGTAGCATGTCACAGTGCAATGACATTAGATCAGGGTTTTATAAAGTAAATGATTTGAAAGAGAATCTTCTTTATATATAGTATTGTGTTTTCTGATCCACTTACTTTATTTGTGCAGTAATTTACCTCAGCATACCTTTGTTCATTGTGCTTATTTGTTTCAAGATTTTACTAGTGAAAATACGACTTTAAATGATTTACGACTGTGTAACAGTGAACCCTCCAAAAAAAATTGTTCCAGCAAATATTTTGTACTATTATTGAGAATACTGAAAGTGTTATTTCCATATATCTTACCTTGAAGCCTGCTTGCTTCAAGAACTGTCCAAGTTTATTCGAAATCTCTTTAAATCTTTCAGGGTGCCAATTCACCTACAAAATCAACCAAAAACTGTCACCGTTACAAGAATATACAATTTTCTCATGAGCTACAGGAAACTGTGGTACAAACTGAATTTCGATAATGTGTGAGACATTGACTCATTAGAGTTACCTGATCCATTTTGTTAACAGCAACAGCCAACTGTGTTACACCGAGGGAACGAACTAGTAACGCGTGCTCTCTGGTTTGTCCACCGGCCTCAAATCCAGCTTCAAACTCTCCTCTACTTGCATCTACAACTAAGATCGCCACATCAGCCTGGAAAAATTGAAAACAAAATCACTGCTAAATTCACAAATTAGCTTGAATTGCAAATCAACCAAGTATATAAAACAATTTTGTAATTCTTTTCAGGAAGATATAGAACCAATTACCTCAATTGCCTGCGAATACATAGTAACTACACTTTACAGTAAAACCATTTGAAGCACTTTGACTGTTTTGGTGAAATAATACAGACCTATATCAAATGATATATTTACACTGTGCATAAATTATTTAAAAATACAAGGATTATTATTAGATACCAATTTTATTGCAGAAATAAAATGTTGGAAAAGAATGCAATGACTTTGAGAGAAAAAATGTTAAACAACCAAAAAGTTGCTTTCTGATAGCGATCTCCATGGGGCAGACTCAGTTCTGAATTATTTTCACAAAGCCATCTCTAATAGGTACCTGCTGAAATGTCACAAATTGGTGTGCCAAAGGGGGGATTGCATGGAGAAAACACCTTTTACGTCAGAGGCCAAGCAGCTGCAATGCACCAGAGCGGGTTGTAGACACCAATTAACAACGAAACCTTAACCTTTGCTGCAAGGTATTTTGCAGAAAAATCTGGTTTGAGTTGTGGACTATTGCAAAGACTTAAACCTACACAATTGTTATGAAGATTGCCTTTTTGTTGGCTACACTTTTTTTTTGTCATGCATTCTTTAGTGGAAACTATCCCGCATCATATGGGCATTATAAATCGTGGTGGTAAAGCTCAACACAAACTGACGCCAATAAAAGGCAGCATTCGCAACAACAACAACAAGATTCCATTTATAGAGCGCCTTTCACGTCGGGAGGACGTGCCGATTAAGCATATTAAGCATATTAACATATAAAATGTGTTATAAAGAGTCCAAAATACAATGGGGTTTGATGGCTCCTCTCTTGTAGTTATAATAATCCTTACATTTGATATAGTACTTTATCACATTATTGAGACGTCTCAAAGTGCTTAATAGAATATATTTTAAAGTAGATTCACTGTATATTTTGTGGGCGAAACCCGGCAGCCAATTGTGCAGAGCAGTGTCCCACAAACAGTCGTGGATTGAATGAACAAATTTATTTATTTTTCGGAGGGATTAAAGCGATCCTCCAATCGACTAACAATCAGGTTCCGACTTACTGTTAGATAAACAGAGGCGTGTGGAGTAAGGAAACTTGCCTAAGATTTGCCCCATCTGGGAATTGAATACAGGTCCTCTCACTTGCGAGGCGAGCCCACTAATCATATACTAAGGGAAATAGTTCTTAGTCTATTGAAGGAAATTTTAAATCGTATGTTCTGGATGTATTCTGAACCTGTGACGTTGACTTACACCAAGAGTTAATCTTCAATGCGTATCTGAAGAGCCACATATGTACTGGATTCCATTTGATAGTGGTTTGTTTGAAACACAATAGAAAAAGATAGCTTACAGGAGGTATACAACTAACATACAACAAAAAAGGTGGTTTTACTGACAAGACACTTTGTTGTGATTACAAGAGATGTTTGGAAAAGGGAAGAATATTATCCCACTGCCTTCCCATTACCAGATAAATATTTGTTAAGAGTCTGAACTTTGGTGCTCTTACACTCCTCTTAGTAACTTGTTCCATTATAAAGACATAGCCCTCTGCATAAATAAATAATTCCCGATCTAAGAACATAAGAACATGAGAATTTGCTTGGCGAAAGAAGACCAAGGTCCATCTAGTTCGCTCTCCACCATCCTGGCAGCCTAACCTAAACTTTTGTGACCACTTGTCCTGTGTTGCCTTGGTGCATCTAAGCTTATCGCTTAGCATTATTAAACCGCTGCACTTTTTCACATAGGGACAGATACCTTTACTGTTAATAACTACACAGCACTCATGGTTGAGACACCTGCTTTGTCTACACAAATGAAAATTTCCCCTGCCTTTCACTTCTGTTATGCACTGTGCACAGAGTTTTCATATGTGGTTGTTCAAGGTTCCTAACCACTCATCACTTTATCTCCAAGATCTTTCATTTGATGAATGGCTGCAAAGTACATCGACAGTGGAATCAAGGGGAGGGCAATCCAAATGGGTGACAAGAACCTCAAACATGCTATTAAACCTGTTGTTTCAATAATTTTAAAATACATTTTTTTTAAAAAAATTAATTCATTCTGATTACAACCTACTCTCCATGGTGGGGGGCATGTAATGCACATCATAAAGACTGCTAAGCTGAGACATCATAAACACAAAATATAAAGGCCTGCTTCATACATTTTGTCCAAATTGGTCAAGAGTATTGCAACAATTTATAGCAAAATGCCAACTTTGTCAGGTCTGAATGAAAGCATCTTTCATATAATACAGCAGTAACTCCAGGTTCCCATCAAAATGAGCTTACTCCTGTCATAGTGGAAAATGCTGAATGAGGAGGAAATGCAGCAGAAAAGGGTTAAGTTGCAGCTATACTGGCTAAACCCACCAAATACTGATCACATCTTTACTTTGCAATAAAAAAGGAAAGTTAGATTGACAAGGCAGCTACATGTCCTATATTTGGTAAACCTCCATCTACAAACACTGGCTGTGCATTATGGCTTAAGAGTGAGCGTAGACCCATGTCTGAAATGTGCGTGGGATAAACCACAGTGCCCCAAAGTAATAAGGAATGGAAACAAGCTAACAGTTTTCACAGGTGAAAGATTAGCAGTCAAAGACGGTATTTTATGCGCCTCATATCGATCACATGTGCACAATCCATGATATGTTCTTACAATAGAACAACTCAGCTTGGGGAGCATTTGGCCTCAGAGTCAAAATATTGTGGGTTTAAGTCCACATCACCACTTTGAGCTCATAGTCTAGACTACAATGCAGTGCTGGGGGAGCCGTCCTCAAATGAGACATTAAACTGAGGTCCATCTGCCTGTTCAGGTGGATGATAAAGATCCCACGATCCTGGCTAACATTCCCCCAAATAAAATTGGCAAGAGATGAAGAGCTAACAGATTTGCATCAACAAAGAGGAGAATCAGGGATCTCCTGCAACTCTAACCCACAGTCACTCCCTCCTCTCTGTCAACACTGGGCTACTTTATGCCCTTTGCCTGTTCCACCACCAGAGGGTGAGGCTTCAGCCATTTTGCACCCTCCCTCTGGAACTTCTAAAATTGCTGCACACAGCTTCACAGGATTCACTGAACAGTGCAGCGACTGTATTTGTAGGCAAACACAGAGGCCAATTTATACATAGCAATGTCCCAGAAATAGCCATGAAGTAAATTTTTATCCAAAGAATTGCTGGTCAAGACATTGAGAAGAACTCTTTTGGAATAGTGCCATGTGATGTTAAATTCCACCTGAACAAGCAGACAGGACCTTGTTTAACATTTCATCCAAAGAATACTATCTCTAACAATCAAGTACTCACCAGGCATCGTATTGGAGTGTCAGCCTTGACTATGTGAGTTCTCAGTCCCAACATGGGGTTTGAACCCACAACCTTTTGACTCAGGGGAAATTGTGCTATTATCTGAGCCAGGCTGACAGGTAAAAGCAACACATAAGAACATCACCAGACAGTTTTTCTCTTACCTGTGCAGCACCAGTAATCATGTTTGGAATGAAGTCTTTGTGGCCTGGTGCATCCATTAATGTGATCACTTTGGTATTAGTTTCAAACTTCGTCATTCCTACATCCATGGTCACACCTCTGGGAAAAAAAATGAAACAACTTTTCTGTGTGAACCAACAAGGCCTAGGGCCTTCAGCATACTACCCGAGATGTTATAATTAACTAAAAAAGTGCTGTACTTTGTCAGTACTTATAGAAAATGAACAGGTTTGGAAAGTTTCATTTGCTTTTTGTTAAAAATACTACAAATAATCACACTCCAATGAAACCTTGAAATAGTTTCTACTCTGCCCTTCACCTCTCTGATCAGAGCCTAGTTTCTAATGTTCTTGCAGCTGGCTGAAAACCTATGATGTTTTGGTGAAAATACATTACACCATCTTAAGTCAGTGGAAAGTTTGAGATGTGCTGTGCAACAAGTCAACAGAATCTCAGTACTGAACTCTGTATTCTAAAATGGACTTTTTCAGCACAATGATTAGGTTTCAACACACACATTGCTCACAAATGCAAATAATCTATTACCTTTCTCTTTCTTCACCTGTCTCATCCAGAACCCAGGCAAAAGCAAATGAGGCTTTCCCTGCTTTCTTGGATTCCTGTTCGTATTTATGCATAATGCGCTTGTTTACATTTCCCAGAAGGTAAAGAAAATGACCCATTAGAGTACTTTTGCCAGCATCCACATGACCTGAGTAAAACATAAGAAATTATATTCATATTAATAAACCAAATTTTGCTGGAAAACAAAATCAAAAGTTAACTTTTACCAAACAGGCACATTATACTTGAACCAATATAATTCAATTTCATTAGATAAATAAAAGGTTAGATTCGGTGCAAGATCAGGCCGAAGGGCCTAAAGGCCAACAGGGGCTGATGCAATTCCAATTGGATTCTTTCCTCCTCTTTCCTAGCCTGAAGCCAACAGTCGGCATGTTGAGATCAGTTAATTCAGCATAGACCATAGGTTGTCTTGATCTTTGTGTTCAGCACCAACCACCTGGTTCTATTGGTATAGATTGGTATGGATTACCAAATACTGCGCATCATTTCAATCAGTAATAGGTTATCCAATTTCCTTCATAGTAAGAAGCAAAGTACTGATTCACATTCACAGAATTGGACTTCAATGACAACACATTTAATTAATGAGCATGGCACAATTACTAGAAACACTATCACACTATCAACGTGACACTATGGATTTTGTTTTATTGTATTTCATTTTCAACAAAGAGAGAAAATGTAAGAATCGATCCTAAGACCACAAGTGATGTATTCTTTCATTTGAATCAGAATTTCCATTGCAGGCAAAAGCAATGCATTTTTTGTTTAAATAATTACCAGATGTAATTTTCTGTAGACAGACATCTGCAAAAGTGACTGCTGAATAACAGAAGCAGTTTCCAAACCCCTGCACATACTGATCATTTCAGCTGTGGAACATGCATTTTCAGTTTCTTATTTCCTTTCCAATACAAGTGTACACAGAGGAAAAATATCTAACAGTTTTTTTTGCAAAATGCTTTCAAATTGCAAAAAAAAATGTTCCTATTAAAGATCATATCAGGTCTCAAATTAGTTTGTAACAGGCATGCATTCAGGGTGCAAAATGAATTATATCAACCGAGAACTTAATGATTATTTAAATAGCAATTTACATTTATATAGTGCCTTTCACTGTGTCAGCCTGGTAGCCCTCTTGCCTCGGAGTCAGACGATTGTGGGTCAAAGTCCCATGTGGGGACTTGGAACTCACATTCTAGGCAGACACTCCAGTGCTGCATTGTCAGGGGGGGGCATCCTTCGGTTAGACATTAAACCGAGATCCCATCTACCTGTTCAGACTGACGTTAAAAGATCCATAGCACCATTCAAAAGAGATCAGAATTATTCCCGGTATCCTTGACAACAATCATCCATATAAAATTGGTTGTTTATTTAATGGTTGTTTGTGGGATATTGCTTTGTGAACACGAACTGCTGTGTTTGCTTAAGAATTACAGTCACTATATTTCACAGTAAAGATCCTGTAAGGGGCTTTGAGATGTTTCACAATAAGGCTATATCAAATGTGGGAATTATTATTCTTCACATTGGGGAGGGAGAGGAAGGTCAGATTCGAGGCAAGGTGTTAGCTCAAGGCCGTGGAAGGATTGAATGGGGGGGCATGGAAATGATGGTGGTTTTGAAAGAAGGGGAAGGGCACTATGTCAGTGGAGAGGAAGCTTGAATAGCAGCTGCTTACCTCTGCATACCAATCAATGTGAATGCCAAGCCTGGATATGTGAACATATGTTCACAAATTCAAATTCCCGGTAACACCTTCCAGCAGCTGACGGTCCAAGCTTCATGAGATATCTGTCTTCAGAGTGGTGAGAGGATCTTTACAGAACAGCTTGTGACATGCTACCCACTTTGATGATCTTGAGGTCCATGTCCAATGCCACGCACCAGACTTACTCAACACAAGTTGCTTGATCCAGATTATTATGTTAGGGGCTTTGGTAAATAGACATGCCTAGGTAAAGCAATGAAGGTGGTTGATGATGGAGAAGAGGAGACCAGGGTTATTGTTGGCCTCGAGGATGATTCTGTGCAAGAAAGTTGCTTAGATGAGAGTGTAGCGGTAGACTTTGGTGTGGTTCAGCTAAATCTGGATTTGGAACTTGAGGCCAAATTTGAGCCAGAAAAGGATGGAGAAAAAGCATAAACTACACTATAAATTAATGTTGAAGTATCTACAACTTTGATAGTTGTGATGGTTGCACACTTCAACTCACCAAGCCAGTCAGGAACCTAGGTGTCTTGTTCGACCCTCAACTACAACAACAACAACAAGATTCCATTTATTGAGTGCCTTTCACGTCGGGAGGACGTCCCAAGGCGCTGTACAGTTGGGTCAGGACCCGAGCAAGGGGGAAATGGTCAGGGTGAGGGGAGGGAAGGGAGGGAGCGAGGAGAGCTGAAGGCACGGTCAAAGAGAAAGGTCTTGAGACCGGCCTTGAAGGAGGAAAGGGAGGAGGCAAGGCGAAGGCACTGGGGGATAGAGTTCCAGAGCCTAGGGGCTGAGAGGCTGAAGGCCCAGCCACCGATGGTAGGGCGGTTGGGGCGGGGGATGTGGAGCAGACCGGAGCCAGAGGAATGGAGGGTACGGGCGGGTGGGTAGGTAGGGGGATAGTAGGTCGGAGAGGTAGGAGGGAGCAAGGCCGTGAATGGCCTTGTAGGTGAGGGTGAGGATCTTGAATTCGATCCTCTGGGGGATGGGGAGCCAGTGGAGGCGAGCGAGGGTGGGAGTGATGTGGTCCCGAAGCCTGGTGCGGGACAGTACACGAGCTGCAGAGTTCTGAATGACCTGCAGCTTGTGGAGGGAGGTGCCGGGAAGGCCGGCGAGGAGAGAGTTCCCATAGTCCAGCCTTGAGGTGATAAAGGCGTGGACCAGAGTTTCAGCAGCGTGAGGGGTGAGGTAGTGCCGTAGTCTGGCCACATTCCGGAGGTGATGGAAGGCGGTGCCAGTTGTGGTGCGGATATGAGGGAGAAAGGACAGCTCAGGGTCGAACAGAACCCCGAGGTTCCTGACTGGCTTTGAGAGGTGGAGAGTGCAGCCTTGGATGCTGATGCTGTCAGTGCCTGAGGTGCGGAGGCGCTGACGCGAGCCAATCAGGAGGGCCTCAGTTTTGCGCACGTTGAGCTGAAGAAAGTTATCTCTCGTCCAGGACTCGATGTCGGACAGGCAGGCTGTCAGGACATCGGTGGTCGTGGAGTTGAGGGTAGAGGAGGAAAGGTAGAGTTGGGTGTCATCCGCATACATGTGGAAGTTAACCCCATGTCTGCGGATGATGTCACCAAGGGGGAGCATATAGAGGGTGAAGAGGAGGGGACCGAGGACAGAGCCTTGAGGGACACTGCACGAGACAGTGCGAGGGCCGGAGGAAAAAACATTTGTGGAGACAAAGTGAAGACGGTGGGAGAGGTACGACCTAAACCACTCAAGGACAGGGCCTTGAAGGTTTAGGTGGGAGGACAAGCGGTGGAGGAGGATAGCGTGGTCGACCGTATCGAATGCTGCCGATAGGTCGAGGAGGACGAGGAGGCAGAGGGAGCCCTGGTCACAGATGGTCAGGATGTCATTGGTGACCTTGACCAGGGCAGTTTCTGTGCTATGGGCAGCACGGAAACCCGATTGAAAGGGTTCGAATAGTGAATGGTTGGAGAGGAAAGAGCGCAGCTGGGAGGCGACAACTCATTCCAGGACATTGGATAGGAAGGGGAGGTTGGAGATGGGCCGGTAGCTTGATAGCTGCGACGCATCAAGGGAGGGTTTTTTTAAGGTGGGAGTGATGGTGGCAGTTTTTAAGGGAATGGGAATACAGCCAGAGGAGAGGGACAGGTTGATGATGTCGGTGATATGTGGGGCAAGGAGGTGGAGCTGGGAGATAAGGAGTGGAGTGGGGATGGGGTCAAGGGAGCAGGTGGTAGGTTTCAGGGAGAGGATGAGTTTGGTGACAGAGGATGGGGAAACGGGTACGAAGGTGTGTAGGGGAGGATGGGCAGGAGTCGGAGTGTGGGAGGGAAGGGGTGGGTGGATGTTGGGGGGAAGTGACCGCGGAGCGGATTCCCTTGATCTTGGATTTAAGGAAATCCAGCATCTCCTCGCAGTGAAGGTTGGAGGAGATGGCCTGCACGGGGTGGCGGGGGGGACGGAGGAGTTGGGATGTGGTAGAGTAAATTTCTACCATTTACCATCATCCTCTCAGTTTAAACCCACGCTTGTCGGATGTTGAACGACCAACTAGTGACTACCCTCCTGGGGGGGGGGGGGGGGGGAGGCAAGTGGGAGCTGGACTGGTTGTGACAGTGGTTCCTGAGCCAGGCAGGTCCACAGCACTCCAGAGCAGCGCTGATGATAGCATGGTCAGCCTGACTCGTCGGCAGGACCTGGAAGGGCAGATCAATTACTGGGCACAGGGAATCCTCCCACTCAGCTCCTGTTAACCCCCTCAAAGCCCTAAATGGTAGGCTGGTCCTCGCTGGACAAGCAGTGGGAACGCTTGCCCAGCAGTGCTATCAATGGCAAGCTATGCAGTTTCAGCTGGTAGACTCCAGCAGTACCCCAACGCACACTAAGGAGTCCCTAAGCCTAGGCTTTTACCAACCTGCGCTGAATACATTACGTAATTAGATAAGCAGGATGCGTCCCTCCAGGAAGAGAGTACATGTTCTCCTGTAAGACTGTACTCTATCATTGTACCGAACCTCTTACATTGCTATAATCAAGTCACTTTTTTTTAAATTGTGAAGTGGGAACGAATGGTACTTACCGATTACAACAAGATTGAGTAGTTGTTTTCCTCCTCTCTTTTCAAGCTCAGCTTTCACATCAATCTGTTGCTTGGCTTTGGAGGAGCTTTTAATCGGAGTCTGTATTGCTGTAGGTTCATCGAGCGCAGGATTTGCAGAATTGGTCTTAGATGAAGCCTCCAGACCTGCAGATCCTAAAGTCTCATTCTTTCGCAGGCGATCATTCTCAGCAGCTGTGCTATAGCCAGTAAAGGCATTTCAACATTATTGAAAATACTGCTATGATTATTCATGCTGCAATAATAGGAATATACTCTGTCCACTGAAACTGTGCATACAATAACATGAATGAGGGAGAATCAGAATCCCTGGATTTGACTTAGTTTTGATATCCTCATAGATAAAAAGACCAAAACGTACTGTCCAGACTTGCCCACAAGCAAGATGGTGGAGAACCACTATGCCTGTCAACCATATCCCAGTATTATTTATTGCTTTTAAGGTGGTGGATTAAAGTCAGAAAATAAGCAAAGAAGAAGAAACAAAGCATTTGTTTAGGCCCAAGAGAATTTCAGGAATTGTACATTCATAATTAGCTGTGTTTTTCCAACATCTAAAGACACAATGTACAATTGTAGAGAGTAATTTATGATGGGTAAGTAGTTTGGGTCTTATACTCTATTTGATTTTTTCCCATGCTAATTCTCTTTCCTCTCCTCTGTCCATTTGTATATTAGGAGCTAAGTATCCTCGTCAAAATAACCATATTCATACTCACTTGGGAAGGCTATTTGACTGCAGGAAGTTTGCATATAGCAGATCCTGACCATAACCTTACTCAACTTCTGACCACCGCATATTCATACTTTTCTGCAAAGAATGCTGGATATCAACCAGCAGCAGACTGACCCAGTTTCCCTGCCTATCTCATGGGGTCAACTTCCACATGTATGTGGATGACACCCAACTCTACCCCTCTGCCTCCACCCTTGACTCCAGGACCACTCTGCCCTGACAGAAGTCTGTCAGATGTCAAGTCCTGGATGAGAGCTAACTTTCTTCAGTTGAATGTCAACAAGACTAAGGCTCTCCTGATTGGCTCTTGTCAGCGCCTCCACACCTCAGGCACTGACAGCATCACCATCCATGGTTGCACACTCCACCTCACTGAGCCAGTCTGGAACCTTGGGGTCTTGTTTGACCCTCAACTATCCTTTCTACCCCAAATCTGTGTCATGACCCGCTCTGCCTTCCCCCACCTCCGCAACGTCGCCCGGCTCCGCCACTGTCTCACACCGCAGGCCACCAAAACCCTCATACACGCTTTCATTAGATCAAGGCTCGACTATGCAAACTCATTGCTTGTTGGCCTCCCCAACTCCTTCCTCCACAGGCTGCAGATCATCCAGAGCTCTGCAGCCTGTGTCCTCTCCCATACTGGGCCCTGCGACCCTATCACCCCCATCCTCGCCCATCTCCACTGGCTTCCCATCACACAGAGGATACAGTTCAAGATCCTGGTCCTCACCTTCAAAGCTCCCCATGGTCTTGCTCCACCCTACCATCCTGCTCGCTCCCTCCGCTCAGCGGGATCGGGCCTGCTTCACATCCCTCGGCCCGCTCACCCCACTATTGGCTGGAGGGCCTTCCGCGACTCTGCCCCCAACCTCTGGAAGTCCATCCCGCAGTCCCTCCGCCTTGCCCCTCCCCTCGCCACCTTTAAGACCCATCTCAAGACCCTCCTCTTTGATCTCCCTGCTTCGCCCCCTGCCCTCCACCCTCCCCGACCCCCAGCTCAGGTCCAGAACTCTGTCTGTCCAGTGCCTTGGGACGTCCTCCCGACGTGAAAGGCACTTTACAAATGTAATTTTGTAGTTGTTATTGTACCCCAAAGGCAATGAAGCTAACTGTAGTGACCCTACTACAACCTGGCTCAGATCAGTTAACACAGTTAACCGGGATCAAATCCATGACCTTCTGATCAGTGCAGTTTAGTGTTGCATCAGGCATCCTGTGAAATTACAATTCTCACACCAGTTACATGTTTCAGTATTAAGCTAGCCAGCAGATGCAGTTACACACCAATCTGCAGATTTCGAACACACAAAAATGAGGTCACTACAGAAACCAAACCTGAAGTGGGAAGATGGTAAAGGCAACAGTTTCTCAATATTACTCAGAATTCTGAAGATGTACATCAAGCTTCGAATACATTTAACAATTGATCAGTAAAAATGGCACCTTTTTTGGCCATATAACCAAAGCACATAGTCATCACGAGTCCTAGCTAGGCTTGGAGGAGAGGGAAATGTTATACTATCATGTTCAATTACAGTATTGTAGAAAATAATCAGACATTATTACTTAGTGCGGTGCATAATTTTAATTTAGTCTAGCTTGTTTACATTTCCTTCAATACCCTTTAAATGGGTTCTTCTGACATTTTATTATCCACTGAGTACTTTTGCTTTCTCAAAACAAAATTCAGAACAAAAGGTCAGACATAAAACCCCCTGAACCTGCTAATTTTTTTTGTCCGTTTCCCCACAAGCACCCCTTCCCACACCACTTTAGCAAAAACAAAAGTGAAATGTGAACTTTTTGGGCAACACAGTTCAGATTTAAAAACAGTTTAGTACTCTAATCGAGATAAGTGCAGCTTATCTTTGAAAATTATCTCTACTTTGGGCCCCACTTCTCACGATACTTTTGGTAAAAACATCCAACACAAAAAAACACCAAGTTTTTTGGTAACCACACGAGTAAGAATCAAATGCATTTTGAATAATTTTACCAAAAAAAGGGAAAAGTCACCTGGGTATATTAAATCCAGTTATCTGTTTTCCAGATACAGTCATTTTTGCTACTTTCGGGACAATGTCACAATCGACTCGGCCAGGTTGATCCTTCACTTTGCCTAAGGTAGAAACACAATAAAATCAGAGACGTAGAAAATCAAATTGCTAAATTCAACATGACTACACATGACTACCCATCCCACTTACCTCTAGACAACTTAGAAAAAACTATTAAAATAAGGGATACTTTGGTAAATGTGAAATTGTCATTCAGATCAGTTTCCACTCACACAATGACAAGGTAACAGATCTCAGACAGGGCAACAGAAGGAGCATTAATTTAAGCATCAGCAACCCTTGATTAAGGAAGAAAAGATCAGCCAGGGATTTTGCTCTTGATAGCAATCTGCTTACCATTGCTGGTACATGTGTAGATGTCAGAGGCCTGAAATTCTACCCAGACTTAGCTTGTAAGACCATTTTATCTTAAAATTTAAGATTGTGCAGAATTTTGGAACACCAGTTTTTTTGAAAAACTGCAGAAAACAGAAAACAAAATTTGGACCATTTTAAGAATTTTTCACAATTCTGCATAATCTTAAATGTTGACACTTTGCTCATTTTTCTCCCCCTATTTTCCCCTCTCTACTGCTCTCCTGAAGGTATTAACTTGTTTTTTCTTCCACAGGGGTACAGTTCTATGGGCACCATTGCCCAAATAGCCATTAACTATGTGTGAGTGAATTTTGGCAGGTGAGTTGACTGTTAAGCCTGATCCTTTCCTAATCTAATATCCACATATGAGAACTTCCTAACACAAAGTGGATAGCAATCGGAGAATCCCATCTAATTTTTCCCTCCTTAAATCAGGGAAACTAAGGAAACCTGCAGTGCCTAACTGATACACTAGACGAGAATAGATAAATCTGCAAGAGTAACGATTCAAAACTAGGAAAATTTCTGGTCTATAAGAATTAGTGTGCATCAGATGGGTCAGGAGCTGCTATGTGCTATGTGCAATGCTCACTTCTGAAACAAAACATAGTGGGATCCAGCCATCAGAAATTGAGCTCACAGAGTAAGCTGAGACTCAAGTGCAGTAGTGGAGTACAACTGTAATGGATGTTGTTGTTGTGAAGTTCAATACCTGATCTTCAGGTGGACGTTATAGATTTCATACCATCATTCAAAATGAGAAGAAAAAAGAGCATTGGGCTGAGTCCCATGAACTGAGTTGCACAATCCTTGTATAGTTTATTGCTGTGGGTCAGTTTTGGACAAAAAAGGGAACACAATTTTCCTGCACTTTGAAGTTCAATGGAGCACTTTTTCAAAAAAAAAACTGCAAAAAAAGATTCCTAGAAAAAATATAAATTTTCCTTTACTTTTTGGAGCCTCCCCCTCATCTGTGCAGTAGTGCCTCACGTAACATTTTAATACAGTGTTTGAACAAGGCAAAGATTCCAGCTGCCCTCCTCAAATGCTTGTTTGAAGTTTCACTTCACAATCATTGAGGTCTGCAACTCTAGTAGCATCTCAAGGAAATAGATGATGTGTTTTCGTGGTTTATCTCTAAACTTGATGTGACTGATATAGTATCCCTATGCACTGATGCCAAGTTCCTAAATACAGGAAAACCTAAGAATTCATGCAGCTGTATAATGTACTTCTGCCTTTTGAGATATTTAATATAATTTCAGAAAGCCCTTTACCCTTCAAGCCAATCCTAACTATAATCCCTCCTTCTGAAAGGGTGAAAGAATCTAGCCAAAGGTTTAGCCACCACCAGCAGTCAGTAGGAAGTGCAATTGAAGTGGGGCACAATGGATAATGACAGTTTCTCCTTCCTCCCTCCCTCTCACTTTCACACTGTACTTCCCTATCTAGCGACCCAGCTGAGGCCAAAAAATAACTCTCTCACGAGTGGTAGATCAACCTGAATCAAATTTACAGTCTTCTGGTCAGGAGTCAACACTGCTTAACTATGCAATAGTTGAATAAGCCGAATGCAAAGTATTCTCAATCCATTTCCCCACTGTATAGGCCTACAAGACTTTAGAACAAGTGAGAGATTACAACACATACACAGAGAAAAGAATAATCAAATAACAGTAACTCACTGGGAGGTACAATATTTTCAACAGATTAAATATTTAAAGCAAAATATAAAATTGACTGAACTGCTGACTCTTCCAAAGCTTCCCCTTTCCCTAATTAGTCATCTGGGTAAACACAAGTATTACTGGACTCATGGGGTCCATGGTCTGTACGGCAAGAAGTATTTCATGCATCCATTGATCTCAGCAAGCCTCCAGTGATGTGAAATACAGCAGAGATGTGAGAGGTGTCTTACAAACATTTTATTTTTGGTCAACCAAGTATCTGACACATGCAGAAAATCATGACCACGCTTGAGAGTAGCCAAACCAAACCAAAATTTCCATGCATCCCACTTACACATGGAAATTCCAGAGATAGATTGTTGGATTGGAATGCACACTCTCTCCCTGGAGGGATGCATCCTTGGGGACCAGAGTGTGAGTTGCGGCATTGCTGGAATCAAACCTGCTAAAATCGTATAGCTTGCTGTCGATAGCATTGTCTGGCAAGGTTTCTCCCAGTGTCCTAGCCAACCATCCTCCAAATAAAATTGGTCACTCATCCATGGCTGTTTGTGGTACACTGCTGTATGCAATTTGGCTATTGTGTTCATCTAAAATACACAGTCACACCACTGTACAGTATATCCTTTGAAGCTCTTTCAGACATCTTGAAGACATGATAAGAAGCTGTATAGAATGCAAGGATTGTTATGTTTCTCCTTTTCAACTATTTATTTAAGTCCCTCTTAAAAACTAATATGGATTCTGCCTCAACTACAGTCCCAGTTTTTTTGGTCGGCCCATCATCATGCTTATGCATGCCACCAATACATGGAAATGTCCCCGTGTCTGGAATGGAGCGCTTAGTCTCACCCAGAACAATGTAATCCTCTTAACTCAAATTATGAAGTATTACATGCTGGGTGGCGAGAGTCAAGTCTTTGGAACAACAACAATAACTTGCGCTTATATAACGCCCTCCACGCAGGGTAGCATCTCTGAGCACTTAACAGTTGCGGAGCCTGACTCCGAGACGGGGGTGGGGAGAGGAGAGAGGTGACCGTAAGCAAGGTTAAAAAGGAAGGTTTTCAGGCGGGACCTGAAAAAGGGGAGAGGGGGCAAGGCGGAAGGGTTGATGGAGAGTGTTCCACAGTTTCGGGGCATTGTGGCCGGAAGTGCGACCTCCAATGGTGGAGCGGAGGGTGCGAGGGACAAGCAGGAGGCTGGTGCTAATCAAGCGGAGGCACCAGGTGGTGGATTGGGGAGTGAGGAGGTCAGGGAGGTAGGGAGATGCTGGGGAGTGAATGGATTTGAACATGAGTGTAAGGATCTTGAAGTCAATCCGTTCGGTATTGAGGAGCCAGTGGAACCTGGCCAGAACTGGTGAGATGTGGGTACGGAGTTTGTTCCAGGTCAGTATGCACAGTTCTGAACGAGCTGGATTTTTTTGAATAGTAGAGCTGGGGAAACCAGCGAAGAGTACGTTTGAGGAATCCAGGCTGGAAGTGACAAACGCATGCACGAGGGTTTCAGCTGCATTGGGGCTAAGGCACAGTCGGAGGTGGGCAATGTGGCGGAGGTGGAGGAAAGCAGTCCTGGTCAGGCACTGGATATGGGGGAGGAAGGACAGCTGGGGGTCAAACCGGACGCCTAGATTGTGCACTGGTTCAGTGACTCTGAGGGAGAGCCCAGGGAGGTTGAGGAGTTCAAATCCACAGGAGTGAAGACGTTGACAGGAGCTAAGAAGTATGGCTTTTGTCTTGTCCACAATCAGCTACAGGAAGTTTGCACCCATCAAGGCCCCGATGTCTGCCAGATAGAACATCGGCGAACCTGGAGTCGATGCTGGAGGAGGCAAAGTAGATTTGTGTGTCATCCGCATACATGTGGAAGTTCACCCATGTCTGCGGATGACATCTCTGAGGGGGAGCATATAGATGAGGAAAAGAAGACAGCCAAGGATAGAGCCCTGGAATACCCCTGACTGGTCAGGGACGGGAGGAGAAAACTATTTGCCGAGATGAAGTGCAGGTGGTTGGTTAAGAAGGAGTCCTGTAGCTCAGTGGTTAGAGCACTCGCTTTGCAAGCGAGAGACCTGAGTTCAATTCCAGGAGGGGGAAACCTTGGGCAAGTTTCCTTACTCCACACGCCTAATAATAATCCCTCCAAAAAACAAAAACAATAATAAATTGGTCATTTTCAATCTACGACTGTTTGTGGGACATTGCTGTGCGCAATTGGCTGCCGCGTTCGCCCACAAATATACAGTCAATTCACTTTACAGTGTGTTCTGTGAAGCGCTTTGGGACGTCCTCCCGACGTGAAAAGCGCTATATCAAATGCAAGGATTATAGGATTGTTGAGGAGTGTGGTCCCATTAAGGTGGATGAGGGAGGAGAGGTGGTGGAGATGCAGGAGGTCGAAGAGGCAGAGGGAATCCTGGTCGCAGATAAGAGAGGACGTTGTTTGTGACGTTGACAAGCGTTGTGTCTGTGGAAACCCAGAACGTGCAATGCTTTCAACCACTATGCCCCGAAACTTTGGAACTATCTCCCTCAATCCTTCCACCTTGCCCCCTCCTTCCCCATTTTCAGATCATGCCTGAAGATTTTCCTCTTCAACAGTGCTTAAGTTCACCTCCCACCTCACCTGGCTCAGCATTGGGCTCCGCCACTGTTAAGCACTCCGAGACATTACACTGTGTGAATGGAGACATATAAATGCAAGTTGTTGTTGGAATGACATGTACAGGACATCTGTTGATGCATCAGCCATGTTAATGTTCTAGAGAGGTCCAATTGCCTTGCTTACTCAATACCAACTGCTTACTCCAGGTCCTAATGTGAGTGGCCTTGGTAAAAGGAAGAGCCCTCCCTCCCTGCAGCCATTACCCTTGTGATTCCAAGTAGGAGATACCTCATGCTAATAATCCTTGTGATACAAAAAATGTTTTGTAACTTCTCCCTTTGTTCCTTTGTTAATTCAATGAAGGCCTGTTACAAGCACTTCTTTATAAC